CATATATCCTGTATAACTTGAAGGTGTACAGCATAATGGTTTGACTTACATGTATTGTGAAATGATTACTGCAATAAATTTAGTTAGCATCCATCATCTTATATAGATACAATAAAAAGAAAAAGAAAAAGATTTTTCTTGTGATGAGAACTCTTAGGATCTTCTCTCTTAACTTTTCTACATATCATAGAGCAGGGTTAACTGCAGTCATCGTGTATACCTACAGAGTTGTGCAACCATTAGTGCTATTTAATTCCAGAACGTTTTCATCCCCCCACAAAGAAACCCTCCACCATTAGCAGTCACTCTCCATTCTTCCCTTCCCCAGTCTCTGGTAACAGCTAATCTACTTTCTGTCTCTGTGGATTTGCCTTTTCTGGAAATGGAATACAATATGTGGCCTTCTGGGTCTGACTTTTTTCACTTACCATAATGTTTTCAAGGTTCATCATGTTACAGCCTTTTTATGACCAGATATTATTTTAATGTATGGATATATCACATTTTGTTTAGCCATTCATCAGTTGGTAGACATTTGGGTTATTTTCACTTTTTGAATTATGAATAATGCTGCTATGGACATTTGTGTGCAGGTATTTTGTATGGACATATATTTTCATTTCTCTTGGATATATACCTAGGAGTAGAATTGATGGTCATATAGTAATTCTATGTTAACTTTTCCAGAAATTGCCAGATTGATTTCCAACTTGGAAATTTACTATTACCATTATTTTACATTACCATTTTGTGAATGGTATGAGGTAGGGGTCAAAGTTCATTTTTAAAAATAGATTCCTTGGGGTGATATATTCAAAAGTCTGCGAGAAAGAAACTGCTAACCAAGAACAATTTACCCAGCAAATGTGTACTTCAAAAATTAAGGAGATAAAGATTTTCCCAGACAAACAAAAGCTGAGGGAGCTCATCACTGCTAGACTTGCTTTATAAGAAATGCTGAAAGAAGTTTTTCAGGTTGAAAATGAAAGGATCCTAACCAGTAACAAAAAAACATATAAAAATAAACAACACACTGGTAAAGGCAAGTGTGCAGTCAGATTCAGAATACTGCAATACTGCAATATGGTGAAGTGTTAACCATTTAACTTTAGTATAAAAGTTGAGAGACAAAATAATTAAAAATAGCTAACACTATAATAATTTGTTAATAAATACACAACATAAAAAGATGTAAAGTGTGACATCAGAGCATAAAATGTGTATGTTGCAGGGGGAATAAAAGGTTAGATTTTTTTGTGTGATCAAACTTAAGTTGTTATTAGCTTAAAATAGACTGGTATATCTATAAGATGTTTCAAATAAGCCCCAGGACAACTACAAAATCAAAACCTATAATAGATATGCACAAGATTTAAAAAAGGAATAAAAGTATACCACTATGAAAAATCACCAGTTCACAAAGAAAGACAGTAAGAGAGGAAGAAAGGAAAAACAACAACAAAACAACCAGAAAAGAATGAATGGGGTGACAATAGTAAGTCCTTACCTATCAATAATTGCTTTAAGTGTGAATGGATTAAATGCTCCAAACAAAAGACATAAGAGTGGCTGAATGAATAACAAACAAACAAGACCCAACTATATGCTGCCTACAAGAGACTCACTTCAGCTTGAAGGACACATATACCTTCAAAGTGTAGGGATGGAAAAAGATATTCCAAGCAAATGGAAACCAAAAGAGAGCAGAGGTAGCTATATTTATATCAGCAAAATAGACTTTAAGTAAAAAAGAGACAAAGAAGGACATTATATAGCGATAAAGGGGTCAATTCATTGAGAGGATATATAATTGTAAATACATACGCACCCAACATTGGAGCACCTAAATATGTTAAGCAAATACTAATGGATCTGAAGGGAGAAATAGACAATAAAATAATAGTAGGCAACTTCAATGCTGCGCTTTCAACAATGAATAGATCATCCAGATAGAAAATCAAGAAGGAAACATTGAACTTAAATGATACTTTAGACCAAAAGAATCTAACAGACATATATAGAACATTCCATCCACCAACAGTGGACTACATATTCTTTTTATGTGCACATGGAACATTCTCTAGGATAGATTGTATGTTAGGTCACAAAAGAAGTTTCAGCCAATTTAAAAAGATTAAAATTATACCGAGTATCTTTTCTGATCACAATGGTATGAACCTAGAAATCAATAACAGGAGGAAAACTGTAAAATTCTCAAATATGGGGGTATTAAACAACATACTCCTGAATAACCAATGGGTCAAAGAATTTTAAAACAATTTTCTGTCTTCCAGTAATTGCCTCTATAACTCTAATTAACATGGCCTCCCAATGTTCTTGATTTTTTTTTTTTTTCGGTACACGGGCCTCTCACTGCTGTGGCTTCTCCCGTTGCGGAACAACAGGCTCCGGACTCGCAGGCCCAGTGGCCATGGCTCACGGGCCCAGCCGCTCTGCGGCATGTGGGATCTTCCCGGACCGGGGCACGAACCCGTGTCCCCTGCATCGGCAGGCGGACTCGCAACCACTGCGCCACCAGGGAAGCCCTGTTCTTGATTTTTTATCTTCCCATATTTTCTACTGAACTTCTATCACATCACATGAGGATTTGACTGATGTCTATCCTTTTCTATCTTGCCCTCCTTAGTGTTGGTAGGTAGATCTTTTGTACTCGTCTGCTGATTGTCTTTACCAACCTTTCTTTGCCTTGTATTTTCTAATTTAAGCCACTCTACGATGTATTGCTGCTACTACGTACCAGAAAAAATGTTTTCTTAATGTATATGAGGCCAGACACTTTTATGTCACTTTTCTGGCTGTAAATATTTTCTCCCTTTTGGATCGGAATGCATTTTTGTCTTTGTTTCAATCTGCATCACTTCAATTAAAGGCCAGGAAAATAAAACTCACGTGGGAATCCTTGTGTATGTGAAATGGAAGCTTCATCCAATATTAAACCACACACACACACACACACAAACACACACACAACCAAACTCAACACCTGACTCTTCCTTTTATCTGAGCAACAAGGGTGAGAGACTCTGAAATCCTCCCTGGGATCCATGTAAACTACCAAGGCAGTTAGGTAGCAAATGATCCTCAAAGTGGGCATCCTTCCAACAAATGTTTGCATTGATTTCGTTATTTCTAAAGGCTGATTGAGCCAGAGAGAGCAAAAGAATAAGGCAAAACCCATCTCTTTTACTGCCCCCTGTCCTGTATTTCAGGATGAGAATGTGATATTGGATGAATTCTGTGATCATTTGGGGAATTGTAGACGGTCTTTCTTGGAGGTGAGACGTGCTGGTGGCTGGGTAAGACCAAACTGAGCCATGGAGTCAGGTGTCCAGAAGTTCCATCTGCTGCCTGTTAGTTGTTCTTTACAACATTTGGGGATTAAGCTGCTTAAAATGGGTTAGAGACAACCAACCCACTTATGTTGACATAGTATCAAACATTTATTTTGTTTGAATTTTTAACTTGTAATTCTTCCACTTTTCATGCTGTGAAATGCAGTATGTCTCTTCCATATTTCAGATGAAGAAATGAGAGTGGGTTTTCACCGTGTGTTAAATAGAAATAAGGAAAGAATGCCTTATCTAAGAATTTCCTGGCGACTGAGGGAGGAGGACAGAAAAAAAGGGTGAGAAGAATCGGGGGATGAATGCAGTCAGGGTGTCCTGAGAAAAAGCCAGAGGCACGAGGAGAGCAGGATGAACTCATAAGGAAGCACATTTTCATTATGAAGAAAATTACTCCTGACTCCTAAATGTAGGTAGCTATGTGTTAACAAGATTTTAATGTTGAAAATATTATTGAAAAAACTTACAAATATGGCTAGTAATGGGAGATTTAATAATATATTATCCAAGAAGAAATGGTTGATTTTGCTTATCTTAATCTTAGTAAAAGAAGACACAAAGGATCTGGAACTTAAATCATTTTGGCAAAAGGAATTAATCTTTTTGTTTACCCGGGGGACTTGACATTGGTGAGCAATGGGATACTGGAGGATGAAAATTTTAACCTGATGCTGTCTGATAGAAATATGGTGCCAACCAGACACGTAATTTAAAATTTTCTTGTACCCACATTATAAAAAGTAAAAAGAAACAGGTGAAATTAATTTTTTTAATTTTTATTTTTTTCTTCCAGCTTTATTGAGGTATAATTGACATATACCTTAATATATATACAGTGCTGTATAGTTTAAGGTGTACAGCATAATGATTAGACTTACATACATCATGAAATTATCACAGTGAGTTTAGTAAACATGCATCGTCTCATATGCATACAAAATTAAAGAAATAGAAAAAAATACTTTTCCTTGTGATGAGAACTCTCAGGACTTATTCTCTTAACAACTTTCATATATAACATACAGCAGTGTTAACTATATGTGTCACGTTGTACAACACATCTCTAGTACTTATTTATCTTATAACTGAAAATTTGTACTTTTGACCACTTTCTTCTGATTCCCCATACCCACACCCACCTTCACTAACCACAAATTCGATCTCTTATTCTGTTTGTTTGTTTTTGAAGTATAATTGACCTACAACACTGTTAGTCCCCATTACACAAGACAGTGATTTGATATTTCTATACATTTCAAAAGGATCACCAGGATAAATCTAGCCACAATACGTCAGTGTAAAGACACTACATAGTTATTGACTCTATTCCCCACACTGTACACGTCATACCAGTGACATTTACTTTGCAACTGCAAGTTCGTATCTCTTAATCTCCCTCACCCATTTCTTTCCTCCCCCCGAGTCCTCCCCCCTTCTCTGTATCTATAACTCTGTTTCTGAAACAGGTAACTTAATTTTAATAATGTATTTCATTTCACCTAATGTATTTTAAATGTCCTCATTTCAAACATAATCAACATAAAAATTATTAAAGAGATAGTGTACATATTGTGTATTTTTCACACTGATCGGCCATCACAGTTGAGACACAACATTTTTCATAGTTCATGTGATTTGCAGACAATTAAGCTGACCATGCTCTTTTCCCCATGGGGGCCTGGTGTGCAATGGCTGCAAACAGTAGCCTCGTCGGTAGCGTATACAGCCTGTTGCCTGTGTGGGTTGCCCTAAGGGGCCTTGGAGACAGCCCTTGCCCGTGGACATCGTGACTGGTGTGCTGTCCCCAATCTAGGCTCCAGACAGGTATGCACGGTGCCTTTGGAAAGCCCCAGGGCACAGTGGCCAGGGTCCACATTGGCCAAGTCATAATGTCCATCCGCAGCAAGCTGCAGAACAAGGAGCATGTGATTGAGGCCCTCCACAGGGCCAAGATCAAGTTCCCTGGCAGCCAGAAGATCCACAGCTCCAAGAAGTGGGGATTTACTAAGCTTAATGCAGATGAATTTGAAGACATGGTGGCAGAAAAGCGTCATCCTGGATAGCTCTGGAGCCAAACACATCCCTAATCATGTTCCTTGGACAAATGGTGGACAGTGCAGTTCCCTGCACTCATGAGAGCCTTGGTGCTGTCCCTTCTTTACACACACCCACCAATAAATTCTACTGTCCCTTCTATACACACACCCACCAATAAATTCTACTTTCCTGTCCAAAAAAAATAGTTCAAGTGAAAGGTATCTCTACTCAAACAATAAAGTTGTGTTTCACAGGAAAACATATTTACTCTCCTTTAGTTTGAAGATTTAAATTAATTAAAATGAAACAAAATTAAGGATTCAATTCCTCGGTGGCAGTAGCCCTATTTCAAGCGCTCAGCAGTCACACGTGGCCGTGGCCTGCTGTTATGGACTGGACAGCTCTCACCCAAGGGGGCCCCTGGGATGTTCATGCAGTCCAAGTCTGCTGCCAATCTTCCAGCAAGAACTTATTGGGTTAGAATAGACATAGTTTGTGCACATCCTGGCTTTATGGGCTGAATTGTGTGCCTCCAAATTCATGCGTTGAAGCCCTAACTCTGAGGTAATCACATTACAATGAGGTCACTAAGGTGGGCCCTAATCCAATATGACTGGTGTCCTCATAAGGGGAGGGGAGGGAATTTGGGCACAAGGGGAGACGTGATACCAGCACGCACACAGAGGAAAGGCCACACGAGGACACAGCGAGAAGGTGGCCGTCTGCAAACGAGGGAGATGGGCTTCAGAAAAACCAACCCTACCAACACCTTGATCTTGGACTTCCAGCCTCCAGAAGTGAGAAAATAAATTACCTCCACTAATATTTGCTATTATTTAGAACACTGCACATATTTTCAATAACTTAAAAATGAATGCCTAGGGCTTCCCTGGTGGCGCAGTGGTTGAGAGTCCGCCTGCCAATGCAGGGGACACGGGTTCGTGCCCCGGTCCAGGAGGATCCCACATGCTGTGGAGCGGCTGGGCCCATGAGCCATGGCCGCTGAGCCTGCACGTCCGGAGCCTGTGCTTCAAAAGGGAAGAGCAAAAAAAAAGAGGGCCCCGCAAAAACAAAAAAAAAAAAAAAAAAAAAGAATGTCTATTCTTCACATCTACTAATCCCCCCAGGAAGTACAACTTTTTCCCACTAGATTTAAATAATAAATCCACTCATGGTAGGAGATTCTGAAGCTGCCCAGTCTGTGGTATTTTGTTACGGGAACCCAAGCAGCTAATAAGGCCCAACACACAGAGGGTTAAGAAAAATCTGGTAAGGGCTTCACCATTTCAGATGTGCTCTTCCCATTTTGTCACAGGCTTCGTACTTGAATGTCCCACAGATCCTTAGAGCTTGGATCTCTGAAAATCAATTTAAGAAACACACACGTCCAAGGGTGTGTGTGTGTGTGTGTGTGTGTGTGTGTCTTTAGCTGGCTTTGTGCACAAGTTTTTTAGTGGCTGTTTGGCCAGGATGTTGCGTGTGTTTTCCATTTGGAAGGTGGGAAGTGAATGAGTCACACTGACAAACCACAGACACGCGGCTTTGAGGCTCAAAATGAAGTGTTGGTGGCCATCCTCTTGCCTTTGTCCATCACAGACGTGGAACCTCTTCATCATCACCCACGTTCGTTAACAGCGTCTGTGTCTATGCTAATACAATCAGGAAACGAGGCAACCCATCTCTTCCTTCCCAGAGAGAACAGGGTGATCAGCCATTAGTGATTCACACTGATGAGCCTCCGCTAATTGAGCAGAATGTAATTAGTGATTACATAATATTTGAGCTCTTGCAACTGTCATTAGTGTCCACGATTCACCAGAGATGAGCCCTCCTGAATGGAGTGTGATTGCCGCGGCTAAATCTAGTTAATCTGGGGTATCTTAATCAACACGGGATGTGCTTTAGGCAGCACTTAAAAGCTCTGGTGACCTCGGAGAAAACCCTGCCATCCACCAAGGTCTGGATTGCTTATGATAGGGATCCTTTTCCAAAGAGAAATTTAATAATTAAATGGCCTGGAAAACTTGAGGGCAGAGTTATTGGATGATATTAACACATTTAGATTTTTCTGTAACAGGTATGGTGACCAAAACGTTGTACTGGTGCTGGCCTTAATTTATGACACATCTGATATTGACTCAGGGTGTGTTATCTGCTGAAGTTATAGTAGTTTTTGTAATGTGGCTAGGAGAACAGGATTAAGAAATAGTTCTTTATAAGAGGAAAGATGACTATTTATCATGGCCCTCTCAGAGCACACTTTTGAAAGTTCGTTTTATGGAACAAAACTTTAGAAGCAATAACATTAGAGTGATATTTTGCTTCCTGTAACAAGGAAAAGTTGGGTTCATGAGATATTACATTTCACTGTGTCCTGAAGTCAAGATGGATTTTCAAGGCATTTGTAGCAGGAGCTCTTGGTGCCTGACCCCGTGTTCCTCAGTCAATGAGTTCACCTGCAGCTGCATTGGACAGCTCTCACGTATACTGTAAACTTCCTACCCCAAGCATCTTTACCACCTTGTTTTTCTTCTCAAAGGCTTTCTTCAGCACCCCGTGAAATTGGTCAACCCACTTGTAGGACAACCTGTAAGTGTCAAGGATTCAACAACTCTGGGGTAAGTCTCAACAAAAGAGGGCTGGGAGTTGGTGGATCAATACCCCAGCTCCCCACTCTGAGGATGTGTTCCACAGGGTTTCTCAGAGGGTTTCCAGCACCATGGAGTCTATAGTGATAACCTGCTTGTAAGTACTGTTCTCCCTCCCCTGCCTCACTTCCTGACTCCCTCCCTGTATTTCCTGGGATCACCTCCTGTGATGGTTAATTTTATGTGTCAACTGGGCTGGCCGTGCGGTGCCCAGATTAAACATTACTTCTGTGTGATCTGTGAGGGTGTTTCCAGAGGTTAGCATTTGAACTTGTAGACTCAGTAAAGTAGACTGCCTTTCCCAGTGTGGGTAGGCATCATCCAATCCAGAGAGGGCCTGAAGAGAACAAAATGCAGAAAAAGAAATCTGTCCCCTTTTTTTCCTGCCTCACTGTTGCGCTGGGAGCCTTCCTAAGTCTCCAGGAAGGAGACAGCAGATCATGGGAATTTTCAGTCTCCATAATTGTGTGAGCCAATTCCTCATTATGTATAATCTCCTATTGAATCTGTTCCTCTGGAGAACCTTGACTAATCACCTTGCAAACAAACTACAGGCACTCAAGCCCTTTTGCAGGGTCTGCTTTTGAAGAAACCCAACTAAAAATCCTTCCCTTCTTACCCTCCTCCCAATCCCAATACTTCATCACCCTAAGAGAATGTAAACAACTGTGATAACTTCCAGTAGCCTCACTGTAGACGTGGCAAGCCCTCTTGGTATGAAGTTTTTACCACTGAATTTATGTGAATTAAAACCTTTTATACCAACCATAATTTGTGCTTTAAGTACAACGACAGTCCACATAAATGGTTGTTTCCAATGTGAAATTTACACAGGTTTACAAATTTCAAAGTTCCGAGCGACTTAACATGGTCCAGTTTTTCATAAAATAATGCGACTATTGAAGATCCAAGGAAAACAGCAACTCATGATTTATGGGATTTTCTCCTGTTTACGTATTTTATATAAATAATAAATATACTGACATCTTTGCTTTGTAAGGTGCTTTCTGGTGGTTGTTTAAACAGCTCAGCCTTTCAGATATTGTTTTAGAAAAGTTCTGCTGAGTAATCATAATTGACACGAACTTAGATCAACACTTACTCTGTGCCAGGCACTGTGCTAAGCTTTCTGCTGTAAGAGCTATTATCATCCCCACTTACAGGTGAGGAAAATGGGGCTTAAAAATGTTGTGATGTGTTGCCTAAGGCCACATGACCTCTAAGCGGAGCAGGCAAGAGTCAGCCTAGGCACTCCTTACCTTAAAGGCCGTCATTAATTTTGAGATTAGAAAACTGCCCTTAGGGCTCTTCTACTCTGAGGGGCAGCAGGGGTGCTGGGATTTATGGCTCCTTGGGAAGAGATGTTATGGATTTATGTCTCTTTGAATGGCCCACACAATGTTAGATGGGAGCAGCATCTTGCCCTGGTCAGGACATGCACAGGAGGGACCTGTACTGTCCCCATAACTCCCCTGTCAGATCAAACCAAAGTCATTTCCCAGCTGATTTGCTAGATACTGCACCTGGCCTGGCCTCCTTTCCTGTCCTTCTGCCCCACTCTCCCATGGGTTTTTCCTGGGCTGAGGACTCAGTAAGCCATTTCACAGGAATGCTCATCTCAGGGACCATTTCTGGAGAACCCAGTCTAAGACAGAACTTAAGAAAGTCTATCAGTTCTAGGAGCCAACATCACCCAGGAAGGTAAACCTGCAAGACCAACTTGAATTGGGAAGCATGAACAAGGTTTTGCATTATTTGAAATAAAATACGATTGAAATACAGTTGGAAAAGATTTGAATGTCTATCAATAATGGATGAATTGAATAAATTACAGCACATTCATACAATGGAATAATATGCAACCATAAAAAAGAATGAAGAGACTTCATTTTAAATTAGTAGAAGTAAATTCAATCTACTGAATAGGAGGAAAAAAAAAGAAAAAAAATGCACTGAAGAGAAAATGTAAAATAAGAAGGTAGAGTAACATCTAGTATATTACTAATTGTAATAAATATATGTGGCTTAAAAACAGACTCTTGGACTGTATTTTATTTATTTTTTATTTATTTTATTTATTTGGTT